AGGCCTCAATCAGTCAACCCTCTCTTCACAATCCCCAATTCTCCCTTTGAATTTTTCTTCTCTCATAGGGATGGACATGCCAACGGCCTTGGATTGATGGCCTTGGACCGGGACAAGAACCGACATTGTGCTGGCCTGGATCGGGACCGGAGAAGAGGTTCTGGTGCGGAATCGGGTACCCAAGTACCCAACCGGTTTCCGGTGAGCCCGGTCATAAATAATGGAGACCGGACCAGGCGATGCTGGTCCGGTTCTAGCTGGTTCCAAAGGTAACAATTTTAAATTTTCACATTCTCAAATGGTGGAAGAGCCACAAAGGGTTGTTCCCTATTTTATGAAAAATGGCCAAACAGGTGCTGTCAGTGCCGATTTCAAGAGTTGCCGTGGTATAAGAGTTTAGCGAAGTCGGCATCATTTTGACTGTTTATAGAGCGCAGTTGAGCGCTTCATCTCTTGAGACGCTCATTTTCTTCCATGATTGGTTGAAGGTCCGCCGTAGAACACAAGAAGTTAAATAGCACTGGACTGCCATTTCATGGAAACACAAAAAAATTGATCCCGGAAGCGGCTCCGAAGATTAGTTCATGTCTTAAAAGTTTAAACCATTCTCAATTGTAATTTATAAATGTGTAATACTCTAAAACAGTGCTTGTTGTTGCTTTAATAGTTTAAATAAGTGTTTCTAAGCTTTTAGATAAAAAAAGAGCTAAAAATGTGTTTGTAAATCCCAATCCCAACTTATAATTAAAAAAGTACTTTAAAGTTAAACATTAGAAGCTGGAATATATCAACTTCTAAGTGCTTCTAGGTATACTTGTAATTAACTCAAACTTTATGGATAATAATAATGGCAACAAAATCTCTAAACCCCCGAAATACCTCAAATAAACACCACCCATCTGCCCCATAGCCCTCACGCAAGTGACCAGCCTGGAGCTTTGTCGTCGAGTGATGGAGATTGCAGGCTAGGCGACCGACCTGTAGATGGGGTCAGTCAAATATGTTGACTGCGGCGTTGGGGTGATAACAGGGAGACACACGCCGACTCAAGGGATTCTATGCAATGGTGGAGTCTGATCTAGGGTTGTACAGAATCAAATAACCCTACTCTCTTTTTAAGTCACCCACGCAATCACTCATGCATATTTTAGTGTGTACACATTGTTTTTCTTCTTCTTCAAAGATTCACCACATTAACTTCAACAATAGTATAGCTCAAAGAATTGCACACAAGCACATTATTTAATCAAATCAAGAATAAACATAAAGTGGCTAATAAGTCTAACAACAAAAATTAACAACATAAAGATTGATGATCCAAGTCAAATTTTAGCAAGTACACATTTCAAATAATATAAGTTTCCCCTTCACAAAAGTATTTCTTGAGCACACTATAATTTGAAACGATAAATGTATATAATTCACAAATTTTCAACATATAAAAAGAAACAAAGAAATATCTTTGTTACATGCAATGGACTTTAGCTTGCACCCCCACAATTTTAAATATTTACAAACAAATGCATGGCCCTTAAAATTCATAGAGATAATTTCATTTTTATTTAAGATAAATCCATCACAACCTTTATTTGCATGTAATATACGCTTGGATTTTAAAGAACCACACCAAAGCACTACATGCAGCCTAATAGCAACAAAGTAAGCATAGAAAAAAATTGGTTCAACGGTTCTTCAACAACACAACAAAGTAATTAATACTTTGTATAATTTAATGACTATAGAGATGTTATGAAGAGGGTTATCAAAAGTTAAAACCGTTTTCAGCATTAGAAGGGAATTTAATAGTCATAATTTTAAAGCACACTAAAGTTAGAATTTCATTCCCTAAGTTGATCAAATAATTTTAAGAACAATTAAAGGAAAGGGTAGCCTTGTATTAACAAGTTAAAACTGAAATGAAATGGATGATCACGTCCAACGATATACATGTTTTTAACAACTAAAAATTCTCCGGATATTTCATTGACAGTGTCAGACCTTCTCATATGTCATACCGGTATGCAAAAGTAGAATGCAAATAAATAAATTTTTATTCAATTTAAGCAATTAAGCCAGTCAAAATCTCAATCAAGTGAAATCATCAATAAAATACAAAATCTTATATGATGTGAGCTTAATCTTAACAACCATTTTGTCATCCCCTATATATAGGACTATAGGAGGATAGACCCATTTTTTTTATTCACAATTGTGTTTGGTAGTCACAATGTCTACCATCTATTCATTCACACATCACTAGTCAATTTTAAAAATTAACCACACCAATTATAGCATCGCCGTCAACAAAATTTACACTTTATTTTGGTAGATTGTCTTCCCCAAAACTTTTGAGGAGTAGTAGATGCTTTTGAGTTTTGACAATAACTGTTTAACAGATGACGGTTTCAATAAATTAAAGCAAAAGACTTGGATTATGATTTTGTCTATTTTGTTCTTGCCACTCAAAGACTAGATCTCTACATATCAATTGATTATCGATGTGATGATGCTCTTAGGTAACCATTTAATTCTTAACAACAAGAATAAATATCACCTTTTTTTCTTTAACAATCTTTCTCTTCTTTGGCTATGATGTTAGAACATAGTCATGCCAATTGGCAACTAGAGAATACTCAATGATTTCCCCTTAAATTCTTTTCTTCATGGGCTAACTTTATAAAACACAATTATGGCTTAAGCGAAAAAGTCTCTAATTCTTCTCTTCTTTGAATAAGATTTTAGAATAATTTAATGGCATAAGATAGAAATAACAATTTTTGTCCTTTTCTTTATTCTCTTTTGTTTTCTTATGTGACTATGATTTTTAACTCAGAAATGGTAAGAAGAGAGTACATTCACTTCTTTTTCTTTAGTTTTTTTTTTTCTTTTCTTCATGTGCTTTTTTAATCACAACCATGGACGAAGAGAAAAATATAATTTTTTTTAAATGCTTTTGGGACAATGATAGTAAGAAGAGAAAAATGCATTTTTTGGTCACTTATTCTCTGAACAAAAAATGGGTTAGAAGGAAAATGATGACTTTTTTTTTCATCTCCTCTTGGCCTACTATCTTAAGACATTGTGATGGTTAGGAAAAAAATACGGAGTAAGTCATTTTAACCACCCTATTAGTAAGTAAATTAAAGATGCATCTTTTTCTCCGACTAAAATGTCAAAACACGACAAAACACACCAATTAATTTGAAAAATACATTAATTATAACTTTAGAAAGAAGAAACAAAGACCCTCCAAAAAAATCAATCCACTTTTTACGGTAATTTCTTCTCTTTTTTTCTATAATTTATAAAATTGTAAAGGTCATAGACTTCACTTTTTTCAATCATTTCTTTATTGTCTTATATTGGTCACAAGTGAAAAAATGACCTTCATTTTCGTAGTTCATTTTCTTCAATTCAAGTGGTATTCTATCGGGTAGTAGTCTAACGGGTAATAAGTTAAACTTGCAGTTTTTTCTATAACTAATGTGTTATTCTACAACAAGAGTTACAACTCTTTGAAACAATTCAAAACATAATGGCTCGGCTCTAATTTATGTGGAGTAATTTGTATCCCTTCTAAATTAATTTAGGATCCCGTGCAACGCACGGGTGAAAGACTAGTTAGTTTATAAAGGAGTATACTGAATTTAGCAAGTCAATATTGGAAGGGGAGAGGTGCTAGGATGAAGGAAATGAAGAAGATTGTGGTTGTGTCCTATCACCCACCTTGAGGGCAAGGTGGATGTTTAGGATGGGAGAATTGTTAGGGACAGACCTATTAGGATATTAAATAAAAGAGTTAGTGTAGTTATATTTCTGTTTGAGATAATAACTACATTCTGTTAGTGGGATACTATAAATAGATGTTAAGTGAGAATAGAGGGAGGCTATTTTGACTGTTTATTATTTTCTGGGAAGATTGAGAATTATCTCTCTCTTGGGGCTTCAGCTATATGCCAAGAAGAGCAAGTGTATTTTAGGGCAGGAATCTATATCACACTTGGACACATTATTAATAATTTTTGGGCAGGAAAATGTTGCTCTGAGGTTCCAATTGTTTTATGCAATGACAGGTGTGTTATAGCCTTAGGCAGGGTTGTATTGATAACTGATGCAAAGGAAAAGGGTGAAATGAGATCTGAAGAAACGATCATTAAATGTGAAGGGTCATCTGGGCTCATCAAATTGAGATCCCTGGGAGATATTATTGCAATACCTAGTGTTTGTGATAAGGAAAGCAGAGATCTCAATTCTTTTATCGTACTGACAAACCCTAAGCAGTCTCAATTTTATGAAGACATTAGTTTGTCTACTTTGAAACCCTAGCAAGAGACCCATCATGAGGCTGACAGACTCCTTATCCAGTAGAAATAACTGCTCACAACTCATACATGACTGTGGCAAAGTCAAGTTTTCTGAATTGGAAATGTAACTTCCCAGGCAGTTTTTCAAAGGCTAAGATTGGATGGGAATTAAGGTGGCCTCTAAGGCTCTAATTGGTCGTCAAGCTCAATTGTATTTAACTGAAGATACTGGTGTTGAGAGAAAAATCCTAGCAGGATAATATCGACACATTTTCGTTTTCACGATGACCATGAAAAGTCATATGTGTAGATAAACAGCGAACATGAGTAATAGATGATACCTATGAGGCTATTACTCACTCCCTCCCCTTTTAAATGTCTCGTTTTACCATATTGGAATGTCCCTATTTAATTGTCCCATACCTTATTTGGTAAAGTTTGTGTGGCTCAAAATCATTCTTACTTTATCAATCAATTAATATCAACCACACAAACCCACTTTTCTTAAAACTCGTGCCACCCTCTTCCGGGACATTTAAAAGGGGACGGAGGGAGTATTATACATCTCGACACAAAAACATGAGTTTGCAGAAGACTAAATTTCTAGTTTCAAATGTAACTGAGGCCTAGATCTTCATAATAGACCTTGGTACCAAAAGAAGAAACTCAATAGTGGATGAAGTGAAAATAACATACTTTCAGCTGGCATTAAGAAAAGCTTCAGCCGCCAGTGTTCTTATTTCCTTTGGAGTTTTGATGAAACATACGTCAATGTAACTGGAGGCAAGACTTATCTTCAAAGCAAGAAACGAACTTGGAGAATAATAAAACCCTTGTATATTATGAATTCAATAACTTTCCCTTTCTGCTTCCTCTTTCTTTCCTGTTCCTTCTCTCTACTCTTTCACTTGTACCCGTTTGCCTTTCCCCCTTTCTTCTCCTCCGCTGCTCCTAATAGAAATAAGGAAACAGCTTCCTTAATTGTGGTGAAGCTTTGAACTTCAGTCTGTGTGCCCCATTCCCACTCATTTGTAATATACAGTATACCCCCATAGAACCACATTTATCAACGCTTGAGCAGCTGAGCTACGTCAAAATGCAACCCTAGCAATCGTTTTCCACTCACCAGTTCAAAATAATACCTATGAGACACCATACAGGAAAAGGGAAGTGAAACTGATGGACCAATAAACAGCCAAAGAGAAATTAACATACTTCAGAATTGTACTAGTAACCAGCTTTAAAAAGGGTATTTGTAATTTGTAATTTAAATGATTGACAGAGTAATTTGTAATTTAAAAAGGCTGCCGGACAGATGATAGAACTTGGATATAATCTAATTCAAACCTGAGCAAAAAAGAACTTGGATATCCTTCCAATCCTTATCTTCAAAGCAAATGACCATAAAAGTAGAAGTCTTGAGGCAAAAAAGAACTCTCTCCCTTCCTTTCCCGTTTCCCCTTTCTTCTTCTCTTCCCCGGATTCCCCTCGATTCCACTCTCCTCTGAGGCTATTATTATTATATATCTCAACACAAAAACATGAGTTTACAGAAGACTAAGATTCTAGTTTCAAATGTAACTGAGGCCTGGATCTTCACAATAGTAGATGAAGTGAAAATAACATACTTTAGAATTGCTGAAGTTGGCCCTTGGTACCAGCTGGCATTAAGAAAAGCTTCAGCTGCCAGTGTTCTTATTTCCTTTGACAGAGCAATTTCTAGTTTAAAAAGGGTGCCTGACAGATGATGAAACATAAGTCATTCAATGTAACTGGAGGCACGAACTATCTTCAAAGCAGGAAACGAACTTGGAGAATGATAAAACCCTTGTACAAGTTATTATGAAATTCAATGAAACCCGATTCTTTTATTACATACTTAAACCTAGTCATCTTAGCCTTTTACCCGATTCTTTTACCCTTTCCAGATGCTTTTGAAATGGTTCATGGTCTTGAACAAGATGAGGTCAATTCTCTTAAAGAGATGTCGGAAAACAAGCAAAGGACACAACAGGAGATGCAGATGCCAAGAGATTCTAACTTTTGCAGCACCAGGGAGCATTTTTCCACCAAGATATTGTTTCTGCTCCTTACAGTGAAGAACTGTAAGCTGCAGCAGTTAGCAACTGTGGCTGGTGACATACTAATTGGGAGGGAGAAAATACAGAAGGTTTTGCTTGCCGGGCTGATTGAGATTGGGGTCATGTGGCGGCATGATGAGCAAGAATTTTGGGGTGTTCTAGAGGATAGTTCTGCTCCTCTTACACAACATGGATTGCAGCATATAATGCTGGAAATGCACTACACCGTAGAGATAGCACGGGTTGCTGGATACCCTTCCAGGATAGTGCATCAAATAGCATCGGATATAATGTCTCGGGTGACCAGGACATATTCGGTTAGGGGCATTGTACCAAGTGCTTTACCAAATGATGACTGGTTTATAGAAACAGCAAAAGGAGCAATAAACAAGCTTCTTTTGGGTGGGAAATCCGGGAGGTACTGGGAAGGAAGAGGTTCCAAGATGAAGAGGAAGTTCAAAATCAAGGCTGTGTCCTATCACCCACCTTGAGGACAAGGTGGTTGTTTAGGGGGGAGTAATGTTAGGCATCAGCCTAATCAGTAGTCTTAAATAAGGGGGTTAGGGGAGTTAAATAGCTTATTAAGTGTCTATAGCTTATTTAGTTGTCTATTTAGTCCCTGCGTGGACTTTTGGCTATAAATAGAAGCTGGGATAGCCTTAATAGGTAGACTGTTATTTTGAGAACTGTTGCCTTGTCCCCTAAGAGTCCCGGTTGCCTAAGAAGTCCCTGTACTGCCTACGGATTACCTATTTCATCAATAAACATCTATTTCCATCTCTGTTCATCAGATCTGTGTGTTCGTTTACTGTTTTAGCTTTGATTTGTGTCTGTGCCCTAACACTGAGTCCTCCGACTGCCGTAGTAGGAATAACTAAGTAGTTATAGTGACTATGGTAATAATTAACATTCCAAAGCTTTTATCAGTCAGTGGAGTTTGATCATTATTTGATAGGGACATAGACAACCAATAATAATAAGAATAACAGAGTATTATTAATAGTGTTATTGTATAAGTTAATGTTTTGGGCCATGTAATTCAAGAAATATGGACCAGTGGCCAGCCCTTAAGAAGAGAAATGATATAAAAGGGGGAAGGGGGAAGAAGGTAGCCAGAATTTCAGTTGGAATTAGGCTGGGAGAGTGAGGCTCTCTTGAAGAGCCTCAACCCTGTAATTTTCAGTTTACGTTGATCTCTCGTTTCTACCATTGTAATCACTACTGTCTTCTTAGTTTTTTAATCAATATAATACTAAAACTCTGCTGCGTTGTTGAGGTCCCTAACATTGGTATCAAAATCGTTGTCCCTGGGAAGCTTCGATCTAAGTCACACGATAAAAAAAATGGAGCAGCGTAGGGAACGTCGAAGGTCAGTTGCCCCTGGTTTGCACGCGAACACTGAGAAGCGTGTGTCGCAGGGAACATGGAAGATCTGATCAGGATGCTTCGCGCGGAAGAGGGGAGAAGCTAGCGAAAAAGGTTGAGCGCGGAAAAGTGGAGAAACTGGCGGAAAAGTGATTGGGGGAAGGATATGCGAATCTGGTTGAAAAAGATGCGCGAACTTTCGCGTCGCCGGAGACTTACAGGCCAAGTGAGGAGCCCTCCTAGACTCCGTCGGCCAACTGAAAATCAGATGTCATCCCAAGTCACTTCAACTTCATCCCTAACAGAACTCCTTAGTTCACAGGTGACCTCGAATGCGCTGATTTCATCACCAGCAGAAGATCCTTGTTCGCAGAATCCTTCTCAAACTGCTTCTCACCTTGCGCAAGTCTCTTCGAAATCGCAGAATTCTTCTCTGAGTTTGCAGGATGGTCTCAACATATGGACACAACACCCCAACTCTCTGTCTACCCACTCCCTCTACAGGAACCAGTACTAAAATTTGGGAACTAATTACCCAAAGACAGCAAAAAAGACAGGAGCTCAAAGAAAATTTTAAGCTGGCACAAGAAAGAATGAAACTTTATGCAGACACACACGGGTAGACAGAGAATTTGCAATAGGGGATCAAGTATATCTGAAGTTACAACCTTACCGACAAAATTCAATTCAACGCAGAAATCAGAAACTATCAGCTCACTACTATGGTCCGTACACTGTTTTGGTAAGGGTGGGGAAAGTGGCTTACCATGTCTCCTTACTGAAGCGTTGCATCAGTTCCCACGCAGTAGTGGCATCACAACTCCCAGAGGTTAACCAAGATGATAACTCTGCTCCTCTGCCAACCCCAGCAAGAGCTAGTAAGAATGCTGAAAGGGTATTAGCAAGTGGGTTGTTATGTAGGGGTCCCCACCCCCATTCCTACAAATACGGTTAGAGCAAATAGGGAAAGGGACAAAAATTGCAGACTATCTCTCCTCCCAATCTCTTTGTCTCCTTCGTTCTCTCTTTTCTTCCATATCTGGTAATTTCTAATTCTAAAATATCACTACATCAATAATTAAGCAGATAACATCACACTATAGTACATTTGCCAACGAGTAGGTAGTGCCCTGATTCTTCTAGTACACTAGCAGTTCCAGCATTACAACAAGTAGGTAGTTACCCACCTCCGTTTTACTACTACACAGGCAGCTGAAGCTTTCCTCTTCTCATTCCTTGCTTCCATCCCGCCCCCCTTCCCTACAGCCCCTAATACAAATAAGGAAACATCTTCTTCAACTGTGGCGAAGCTTTGAACTTCAGTCTGTGTGCACCATTCCCACTCATTTGTAATCCCTGAGGTAATAGAAAGAAGGGCACAATTCTAAATTCTACTTTCAAATTTATCAACGTTTGAGCAGCTGAGCTACGTCAAAACGCAAATCTGGCAATCGTTTTCCACTCACCAGCGAACTTCAGCATAAGGACGACATAATCACCTTCAAAATGATGATATTATTCAATCCACGGGATATCCACCCGATAATCCAGAAGGGGCGAAAAGGGTTGATTCAGATTCCAGCTCGAATTCAAAACCTGTGTTACTTGAAGAGATAAGTCTTACTGATGGACCAAAAAATATGACACATCAAGTAAAAAAAATAATGACAATTGAAAATGTTGCTCTGAATTTCCAAGGAAAGGTGTGTTATAGCCTTAGACAGGGTTGTATTGATAACTGATGCAAAGGAAAAGGGTGAAAGGAGATCTGAAGAAACGATCATTTAAAGTGAAGGGTCATCTGGGCTCATCAAATCGAGATCTCTGGGAGATATTGGAATACCATGTGTTTGTGATAAGGAAAACAGAGATCTCAATTCTTTTATCGTACTGACAAACCCTGAACAGTCTCAAATTTATGAGAACGATCATAAATGAGTGTGGATAAATCTAAGATGGATACTTTGTATGGGAATTGTAACTTCCCAGGCAGTTTCTCAAAGCTAAGATTGGATGGGAATTAAGGTGGCCTCTGATTGATCGTCAAGCTCAATTGTATTTAACAGAAGACACTGGTGTTGAGAGAAAATTGCTAGCAGGATAAATCTCGACTCATTTTCGTTTTCATGATGACTATGAAAAGTCACATGTGTAGATAAACAGCGAACATGAGTAATACCTATGAGGCTATTATTATACATCTCAACACAAAAACACGAGTTTGCAGAAGAAACTCAATAGTAGATGAAGTGAAAATAATTAGAATTGCTGAAGTTGGTCCATGGTACCAGCTGGCATTAATAATAATAACTTAATTATTATTATTAATTAATATTATTTAATTGTCTTAATTTTCTATTTCTTTCTTTCACTTTCCCTTTCTCTTCCTCTCGACTCTTCTCCCCGTCTTCCCCCATTCTTCTCCCCTTTCCCCCCTTTTCTTCCCCCCCTCGACTCCCCCATACTGCTCCAACGAATCATCTGGGCAGCACAAAATTCTTGAAACAGAAAATATATGACTCCGTAAACTACCTGTCCATCTGCCACTGGATCAAATGACAGCATCTCTCATTCATTCCTTTTAACACAACTATCATTCTTCTCATACGGCATTTATCATTCTTTTCATCTCACTACACCTCATAGGATCTGGCTCATCGATCGCCCTCTCTGTGAGCACGTGTTTGATTCGGCATATAGACTTTCTTACCTTGGAGATACATTCTGGATTTGGAAATCTCAAGTTTTGAGCATTAAGCATTTGACGTTGAGCCTTGAGAAGTACATACCATAGTTTGTGAAGATCATCCCAGGACTTGAGACGAAGCTCAGATGCCTTCCAGCTCCGACCATACACAACAGGTTTATCATCCTCCACACTTCTATGAGCTTCAAAGAACTGCTCGAGAGGGTTATGAATTGCTCTTCTAGCTGAAGTACAAGCATCCCAAGTAGTCTCACATTTGGCAGCAGCTAAGAATGTCCTCATAAAGAGTCAAGCCGCAGCCCGCAAGCATAGTTGCAAATAGGTTATATCACCAAAGAAGTGAAAATGAAGGCTTTCTGAATATTGCAATCCGCTAGGGTAAGACCGTCTTCTAGCTGCTTCCCGGAAAAAAAAATCAGAAGGGTAAGGCCAAAATAGAAGGGCGGTGATGGGGCTAAAATCCGCTCCAGGGAATCGAACCCAACCCCTTCCATTTTAAAGTTTTACATACCACCAAATAAAAAAAAAAAAAAAAAAACTGAAAAGACCAATGTTTAAAATAAACAAATACGGAGTACTATTCTAAAAGGGCATTAAACAAAGATATGCCCTTACAACTAAGGAAATTGAAAAAGTCACAACTAATTATAGTACTAACCAAAGCGTACTCCTATGGGGCTGGGGCAATCCAACATCTCCACACTGCGTTTTTCCTGCAAGTAAAAGCTGTATACGAAATATTATATGTTTTGAAACAAAGAAAAAAGGTTGAGGTAAAGAAGAATGAATAGGATTTGCAACAACGACATATATTAGCAGATCTGAAACAGCAGTGAAAGAAGCAAACGGCTCTAAGCCACAATAAAGAATAAAAGTTTCAATAAAAAAACATTCAAGGGGAGAACCAACTACAATAGCTATAGTGCATTTGCCAACGAGTGGGTAGTGCCCTGATTCTTCTAGTACACTAGCACTTCCAGAATCACAACAAGTAGCTAGCATTTCAAGGGGAACTCAGAAGCAAAACAAACGCAGGAAGAAGGGAGAAGACTATAAAGACTGAATCGCCAAAAGACACATCCCTAAGGCGTGAGAAGCGCGCGACTCTCAGATGCGCAAAAGGCGTCAAAAAGCGCCGTATAATGTGCGCCTCTTGGAACCTACGCCGCCTGGAGGTGTAAGATGCGATAAAGTGCTCGCCTTAGAGAGCCTAGCGCATTTTCGCGCCTCAGGCGCGCTTTTTTAAACCAAGGTGTGCACCATTCCCACTTATTTGTAATATATAGTATACCCCCATAGAACCACCTAGTCATACCCACATTTTGCATCTTACTATAGATATCCCTAAGGTAATAGACAGAAGGGCAAAATTCTAAATTCTACCTTCAAATTTATCAACGTTTGAGCAGCTGTGCTACGTCAAAACACAAATCTAGCAATTGTTTTCCACTCACCAGCGAACTTCAGCATAAGAACGACATAATCACCTTTAAAAAACAAATAATAAATTAATAATAACATAAAATTGTTGGACACATCAACAGTGAATTGGGAAACTTATAAATCAAGGACTTCTTTTTGACGAAACTTAAAACTAAAATCAAAACCAGAAATGTTGTACTGCAACTGAGCAGTAATTTACTGCGCCCCAGTTCTAATTAATATTAAGTTCAAACTATCTAGGTTGATTATATGAAGCATAATTAGTTAAACTTTTACTGCAATCAAGTACATATGAATTTAGTAAATTTCCCCCTGTCTTAATTTTCCCCTACTGCTTCCTCTTAATTTTATATATCTATGAGGCTATTACTCCGTATATATCTATGAGACTATTAATCAAGTTAATAGTAACTAAATAAGTTAATAATAACTAAATAACTTAATATTTTAGAGAGTTCCTCATCAGATTGGTTTCTTCCCTAGCGCACGTCTAGGGTTTCAGTATTTCTCGTTCATAGCTTCGAACGGTATTTTCATTCTCAGAATCGTCATGCAAAGTACGTCGATGTCAATGGAGGATCTTTATTCAAGGCTCTCTCTGGAGGAGGAGGGTGAAGAAGGTTTAGACGTGGGGGGATCAGAGACAGAAGGGGATTATCTCAACTTAGTGGCCGTGGGAAGACTTCTGACAGATAGACCGGTAAAGTTTGTTTTCTTTCGTGAAACTATGGCTAACTTATGGAGACCTGGGAAAGGAGTTACTATCAAGGAGTTGGGTGGCCATAGATATCTTTTCCAATTTTTCCATGAGGCTGACATTTGTAGAATTTTGAATGACGGACCATGGGCATTTGATCGCAATCTTCTAATATTGCACCGTCTTAGTCCTTTGGAAAACCCCATGACTTGTCCCCTGGAGCAGGCTGAATTCTGGATCCAGGTGTACAACCTTCCAATGGGGCTAATGACAGAAAAGGTAGCAATGCTAATAGGCAATAAAGTGGGGAAGTTTGTATGCGCAGATGAAAAAAATTTCCAGGGGACAGTAAAAGTGTTTATGCGAATACGAGTACTCCTACATGTTGATGCCCCGCTCAAAAGGAAATTGAAACTAAACTGGAAAGGAGAAGAGATATGGGTGGATTTCAAGTATGAACGACTTCCACTATTCTGCTTTATCTGTGGACGATTGGGTCACTCCGATCGTTTCTGTAAAATCCATGTAGAGGAAGGTTGGAGCGGGCAAGTGAAACCTTACGGTATGTGGTTAAAAGCTGGAGGCAAAAGAGATGAAATTGGGCAAAGTAATCCATGGTTGGTACCTGATCGTGCGGGGTTTGAATCCAGGAGGTGCAGTGAAAGCAAATTAAGTGAAGAAAGGGAGGGATTTGGTGGTACTAAACTTTCTAAAGACAGAATGGATGCTACAGAAGGGGTGGTTTGCTGTTGGACGGATAAGGAAAGTCTTAGCAGGAACTTTTCAAGGAATGACAGTTTGATAGGCAAACGCAGGAGGATCAGTGAGAGTGCAAATATGTCAGGATTGGATCAGGAGGAAGTTAATGCAACAGGGTCAAAAAACGTATTAGAGGCGGGTCCTGGTGTTCAGGCCCGCCTAGAATCATGAGTTGCCTTAGCTGGAACTGTCGAGGGCTTGGCAACCCATCGACAGTTCAAGTTTTAGTGGATATTATCCACTCGAAGAGGCCATCCTTAGTCTTCTTAATGGAGACTTTTTCAACAAAAAGGAAAGTTGATGAGTTAGTGAAGAAATTGGGTATGGAGAGTTCTTTTGTGGTGGACTGTGTTGGACATAGGGGGGGTCTAGCCTTATTGTGGAAACAGAATGTAGCCGTGCAGATTCAGCGTCATTCACCCAATTATATTGATGCACACATTAGGCTGGAACGTGATGATCCACCTTGGCGTTTCACGGGATTTTACGGCTGCCCGGAGAGATCGAGAAGGAAGGAGTCATGGGGTATGTTGCGCTATCTTAGTTCAATGTCTACGTTGCCATGGCTTGTTATGGGGGACTTTAACGATATGATGTTTCATTCAGAGAAAAAAGGAAGGGTTCCTCATCCGCGATGGCTTCTACAAGGTTTCCGGGAAGCGGTCTGGGCTAGTGGCTTAGCTAATTTTTCATTCGATGGCTACCAATTTACTTGGGAGCGGGGACGTGGAACCCCGGGTTGGGTAGAGGAGAAGTTGGATCGGATTTTGGTTTCTGAAAATTGGAAGGAACAATTCGGAGGGGCCAAAGCTATTTCACTGGAGGGGACACCAAGCGATCATCTAGCTTTATTTATTAAATTGCAGCAGTGGCAGGGGATTAAAAGAAGGAAGAGGTTCAAATTTGAAAATGTGTGGTTAAGAGAGGAAGATTGTAGGGAAGTTGTGGAGCGGAGTTGGGGTCTAGGGAGAGGCTTGGGACTGTTAAAGCAATTGGAAATGTGCAGTGCAGAGATGGGAAAATGGGGCGAACAGAGAAGCAAAGGGGAAGGGGAGCGTATTAAGTTCACCAAGTCAAGGCTCCAGTTCTTGAGGGGCAAACAAGATGCGGATAGTGTGGCAGAATTTGTCAGGGTAAAGTGTGAATATTTGAACTTGTTAGAGAAACAAAATTGTTATTGGCAGCAACGAGCCAAAGAATTTTGGCTTAGAGGAGGAGATGTAAATTCCAGATTCTTCCATAACTCAGTCAAGCAAAGAAGAAGGAAGAATCGAGTGGAGGGCCTTAGGATGGATAATGGTCGATGGGAGACAGAGAGGGGTGAGGTGGGCCGAATGATGGTGGATTATTTTGATAACATATTTTCCTCTATGCAGGGTTATATGGAGCCTATCATTTTTTGTATCAAGCACATGGTAACATCAGATCAAAATCAGCAGCTCCTTAGGCCGATACAGGAGGAGGAGGTCAAGGCAGCCCTTTTCTCGATGCACCCAGATAAGAGCCCTGGTCCAGATGGGATGGGACCGGGTTTTTTCCAGCATTTCTGGGAGGTGATAGGATCAGATGTAGTGGATTTTTGCAAGCAGATTTTTCTGTCGGGTAAGCTCCCTGGAAGAGTTAATCATACACATATTGTCCTTATCCCTAAGAAGGACCAACCTGATTCTATGACGGACTGGAGACCCATATCTTTGTGTAATGTTATTTATAAGGTCTTCTCCAAGATACTTGCTAATAGGATGAAGTATATTATGAATGGGCTTATTTCTCCGAATCAAAGTGCTTTCATCCCGGGACGGTCAATTATAGATAATATTATGATAGCTTTTGAGTCCCATCACTTTTTGAAGCGGAAAAGCCAAGGTCTTAATGGTTTTGCAGCTCTAAAATTGGATATGAGTAAAGCATATGACAGGGTAGAATGGGTCTATTTAGAGGCTGTGATGCTACGATTAGGCTTTGATGAAAAGTGGGTGGATATTGTTATGGAAACAGTCCGTTCTGTTACTTATTCTATTCCATTTGATGATCAAGAGTTGGGTCCTATTTATCCGTCAAGGGGGCTACGGCAAGGAGATCCCCTTTCACCTTACTTGTTTATATTGGTTGCAGAAGGGCTTAGTGCAAGGCTGTGGAAGGAAGAACTAGAGGGCAGAATTCATGGAGTGGCTATCGCGAGAAGGGCACCGAGAGTGTCACACTTATTGTTTGCAGACGATAGCTTCTTATTCTTCAAAGCCTCACATCAAGAGAGTTCAGTCATTAAGGAAGTTCTGTGTGATTATGAGAAAGCGTCGGGACAAAAGATAAACTTTAATAAGTCGACAGTGACTTTCAGCTCTAACGTTAATCGTGATGTTAGGGTAGGTTTAATTGAAATGCTCGGTGTGAAAGCGGCAGAAGTGGGTGCAAAATATTTGGGACTGCCTTCTCTTGTTGGAAGGAGCAAAAGAGAGGTCCTAGCTTTTATCAAAGAAAGGGTCATTAAACGTATAAATAGCTGGAATCATAAATTCTTGTCCAGGGCTGGTAGGGAAACTCTCTTGAAGGCAGTAATTCAAGCAATACCTAGCTATGTGATGCAAGTGTTCTTGCTGCCTCAGGAGCTATGTTCAGAGTTGGAAAGAGTAATGAATCGTTTTTGGTGGTGTGGTACTACCGGCAGAGGTATTAAATGGAAGGAGTGGTCTAGTATGACTCATTCAAAGGCGAGAGGGGGGATGGGATTCAGGAAGCTTTATGAATTTAACCTTGCCATGCTTGGAAAGCAGATTTGGAATTTTTTGCAAAACCCAAATTCTCTGGCAGCTATGATTTTTCAGGCTAAATATTTCCCTCGCAAGTCCTTGTTAGAGGCTGATATCGGTTCTAACCCTTCGTTTATTTGGCGAAGTTTGTGGGAGGCTAAAGAGAAAATCAAAGACGGATTCCGATGGCGGGTAGGGGATGGAAAATCTATCAAAGTTTGGAGTGACCCTTGGCTTCCCTGCTTAACAAACCCGTGGATCACATCCAGTGTTAGCTATGGGCTGGAAAATATTACAGTAGAACGGCTTTTTACAGAGGGAGGACATGGTTGGGATGATGATCTTCTGTCTGATTTGTTCAATGAACGGGACCAGCTTTTGGTGAATAGCATTCCGGTTAGTAGCAGAAGAGTTCCTGACAAAATCATATGGCCTTGGGAGGAAAGGGGCAGATACACTGTCAAGAGTGGGTATCATTTTCTTACTAGTAGAGGGGCGGTTAACAATCCTGGAGAACCATGGACCCAAATGTGGAAACTATTTATTCCACCTAAAGTGAAGGTGTTCTTTTGGCAACTTTGCTCCGGTTGTCTCCCGACGACCGATAATCTTATGGTCAAGAGGGTAGGCTGCTCCCCTAGGTGCGTTATGTGTGAGGTTGAAAATGAAACTGCTGCACATCTTTTTCGAGATTGTATAGGTGCTAAGCAACTCTGGGATTTCATTAATTGGGACTTAAGTAATGGGCAGGGGCTTTCTTTCAAAGACTGGGTAAATGAATTCTTTAGTTGCAGGGACATGGAAGCTTGCTGCAAGTTCGTGATGTATCTCTGGAGTATATGGACAAGCCGAAATGAAAAGATGTGGAATAATAGGCATTTAACAGCACCGAGTGTAGCAGCCACCGCTACTGCTTTTTTGGAAGGCTGGCGTAGAGCTCAAAGGCCGGCAGATAGGGTTGAGAGAGGAGGTCCAGGTTCTGCTACGTGGGTGCTCCCGGAAGAAGGACGTATTAAACTAAATACGGATGCAACGATTAAAAGCGGAACAAGAGTTACTGGTATGGGATGGGTAGTTCGGAACTGTGATGGATTTTTTTTGGCAGGTGGTGTGATATGCAGAAAGGGGGAACTTATTCCCGGTGAGGCAGAAGCTCTATCTATGCGGGAAGCTTTAAGTTGGCTGAAAGAGGTGGGCTGGGATAATGTTGACGTGGAATCAGACGCTATTAATCTGATTAAGAGCATCAAGACGGGGGCAATAGAATCATCTTTCGGCCTCATTGTTGAAGACATTAGAGAAACTTCAACTAGTTTTTCTAGTATCACGTTTTCTCATATTAAGCGGTCAGCGAATCGTGTAGCCCACCATCTCGCAAGGGCAGCCGTTTCCTCCGAATTTTATTCAGTTGTATTTGGACAACGATTTATTAAGTAATAATAGTTAATCTTTTAGCTTTCAAAAAAAAAAAAACTAAATAACTTAATTATTATTATTATTAATTAATATTATTTAATTGTCTTAATTTTCTATTTCTTTCTTTCACTTTCCCTCTCTCTACCTCTCGACTCTTCTCCCCGTCTTCCCCCATTCTTCTCCCCTTTCCCCCCTTTTCTTCCCCCCCTCGACTCCCCCATACTGCTCCAACGAATCATCTGGGCAGCACAAAATTCTTGAAACAGAAAATATATGACTCCGTAAACTACCTGTCCATCTGCCACTGGATCAAATGACAGCATCTCTCATTCATTCCTTTTAACACAACTATCATTCTTCTCATACGGCATTTATCATTCTTTTCATCTCACTACACCTCATAGGATCTGGCTCATCGATCGCCCTCTCTGTGAGCACGTGTTTGATTCGGCATTTAGACTTTCTTACCTTGGAGATACATTCTGGATTTGGAAATCTCAAGTTTTGAGCATTAAGCATTTGACGTTGAGCCTTGAGAAGTACATACCATAGTTTGTGAAGATCATCCCAGGACTTGAGACGAAGCTCAGATGCCTTCCAGCTCCGACCATACACAACAGGTTTATCATCCTCCACACTTCTATGAGCTTCAAAGAACTGCTCGAGAGGGTTCTGAATTGCTCTTCTAGCTGAAGTACAAGCATCCCAAGTAGTCTCACATTTGGCAGCAGCTAAGAATGTCCTCATAAAGAGTCAAGCCGCAGCCCGCAAGCATAGTTGCAAATAGGTTATATCACCAAAGAAGTGAAAATGAAGGCTTTCTGAATATTGCAATCCGCTAGGGTAAGACCGTCTTCTAGCTGCTTCCCGGAAAAAAAATCAGAAGGGTAAGGCCAAAATAGAAGGGCGGTGATGGGGCTAAAATCCGCTCCAGGGAATCGAACCCAACCCCTTCCATTTTAAAGTTTTACATACCACCAAATAAAAAATAAAAAAAAAAACTGAAAAGACCAATGTTTAAAATAAACAAATACGGAGTACTATTCTAAAAGGGCATTAAACAAAGATATGCCCTTACAACTAAGGAAATTGAAAAAGTCACAACTAATTATAGTACTAACCAAAGCGTACTCCTATGGGGCTGGGGCAATCCAACATCTCCACACTGCGTTTTTCCTGCAAGTAAAAGCTGTATACGAAATATTATATGTTTTGAAACAAAGAAAAAAGGTTGAGGTAAAGAAGAATGAATAGGATTTGCAACAACGACATATATTAGCAGATCTGAAACAGCAGTGAAAGAAGCAAACGGCTCTAAGCCACAATAAAGAATAAAAGTTTCAATAAAAAAACATTCAAGGGGAGAACCAACTACAATAGCTATAGTACATTTGCCAACGAGTGGGTAGTGCCCTGATTCTTCTAGTACACTAGCACTTCCAGAATCACAACAAGTAGCTAGCATTTCAAGGGGAACTCAGAAGCAAAACAAACGCAGGAAGAAGGGAGAAGACTATAAAGACTGAATCGCCAAAAGACACATCCCTAAGGCGTGAGAAGCGCGCGACTCTCAGATGCGCAAAAGGCGTCAAAAAGCGCCGTATAATGTGCGCCTCTTGGAACCTACGCCGCCTGGAGGTGTAAGATGCGATAAAGTGCTCGCCTTAGAGAGCCTAGCGCATTTTCGCGCCTCAGGCGCGCTTTTTTAAACCAAGGTGTGCACCATTCCCACTTATTTGTAATATATAGTATACCCCCATAGAACCACCTAGTCATACCCACATTTTGCATCTTACTATAGATATCCCTAAGGTAATAGACAGAAGGGCAAAATTCTAAATTCTACCTTCAAATTTATCAACGTTTGAGCAGCTGTGCTACGTCAAAACACAAATCTAGCAATTGTTTTCCACTCACCAGCGAACTTCAGCATAAGAACGACATAATCACCTTTAAAAAACAAATAATAAATTAATAATAACATAAAATTGTTGGACACATCAACAGTGAATTGGGAAACTTATAAATCAAGGACTTCTTTTTGACGAAACTTAAAACTAAAATCAAAACCAGAAATGTTGTACTGCAACTGAGCAGTAATTTACTGCGCCCCAGTTCTAATTAATATTAAGTTCAAACTATCTAGGTTGATTATATGAAGCATAATTAGTTAAACTTTTACTGCAATCAAGTACATATGAATTTAGTAAATTTCCCCCTGTCTTAATTTTCCCCTACTGCTTCCTTTAAATAGTAACTAAATAAGTTAATAATAACTAAATAACTTAATTATTATTATTAATTAATATTATTTAATTGTCTTAATTTTCTATTTCTTTCTTTCACTTTCCCTCTCTCTACCTCTCGACTCTTCTCCCCGTCTTCCCCCCTTCTTCTCCCCTTTCCCCCCTTTTCTTCCCCCCCTCGACTCCCCCATACTGCTCCTGACCCCCCCCTACCCCCCCCACGGGGGGTTTGGCGCCACGCGGCGCCAGCGAGGCAGCATAACGCCACCCCTGGCGGCCCAGGACGGCATGGAGGCAGCATAACGCCCCCACCGCCCTAAGCCTAACCTAAACCTAAGCTAGCCTAAACTAAGCCTAAGCCTAAACTAACCTAAGCCTAGCCCTAACTACCTACCTAACCTAAGCCTAATGGCGCCCAAAGAGGGAGCCGGGGCCGGCCCCAAAGGGTGGCCAGCCCAACCCAGCGGGACTTGGTCAGTCCCAAAGGGTGAGTATATCTGCAACTGTACCCTTGTATTTATAGACCCTGCCAGGAGTCGCTCAGCCATCCGGCGTCGGTGTGGGAACCGATTTTAATTAGTGACTGGAATGCTTACTTTCTTCGTTTCTCTTCTTCCTTCTCTGGCTTGGTCGGTGTGGGAACTGATTTTAATTAGTGAATGGAAAGCTCACTTTCTTCGTTTCTCTTCTTCCTTCTCTGGCTTGGCTTCCTTCACCAACAGCTCAGCCTCAGCTCCTTCACCAAGCCCGACGCCGCTAGGATAAGCCGCCGGATTTCGCGTTTGTCCATCGGAGGGATGGCTGTTCAGCTCCTCTTCCATCTGCCTTGCTTCACCCGCCCAAGAACCAGTGCTCCGTCACCTAGAATGACTCACTCAACTGAGCGAGGAGGAGGATCGAGGCGGCTCAAAGATCATATATTTAATTCCAATTCCAATCATTCATTTTATTCAACATCTAAAATTCATTACATAAAATCCGCATATCCCCTTTCTAACTTAGAATATTTATGTTTCACCCATTTTGACAAAAGTACCTTGATATTATTATTTGAGGTTTCTATTAATACATTACCATTACTAATTAGTTAGACAAAAAAGCGACTAGAATTAAAATATTCAATAAAAAAAACGTAAGCACGTGGAAAGAGCATAAAATAAGGGACCATTCCTGGTGTACACAAAATGTGTACATTGCATGTGTACACGGAAAATTCGACATCAAGTTATGCCCCTTTTTAAACGAATTGCATGTGTACACAAGCAGCTGTGTGGGTTTTGTGTACAGGTTGTGTACAACTCATGTACACTAAGAATTTTCCTGAAATAAAATGTCGTGATTACCCCCAACGGTTACCAAGCTTTTAGATCCAGACCTAATTTGCGGGAGTTACTTGAAGTTATATTTGAGGGTGGGTTTGATTTCACATATTGGTGTGATGCAAATAAATTACTTTGTGAGTCATGATACAATGTTTTTGATTTATTTAGGGGAATAGAAATCAGGCCACAAGGGTTTAATGCACCAAACCCCACTGTGATTTGGAAATTCGCCGCATTAGCCCCATGTGATTTAAAAAATGCGTCAAACCCCCCTGTGTTTTAATTAATCATGCGCCAAATCCCTTATGTGAACAAATTCAATTGTCAAATCCCCCTGTCAAATTCAACTAATTTAATACAAATCATCTAAATAAGGCTAGGTATCACATCAAAATATGGTAGACTATTAGTACAAAACTAAATATAATAAAAAATAATAAATATTGACATATTTAAAAAAAATAACAATTTCAACCGATTTGAACTGAACTTAAGTAACACATACTCATATAAAGTTTTGCTTTATTTATCATCCCCCAACTCCCAACCGCTTCCATTTTTTTGTCTAAAAATTGTTTGCCTCTTTTGTTCTACCCACCCAAGGAGATGGATGACATCAGGCAAATAAATAAAAAAAAAAAACTTCCATGATTCAAACATATCATCCATTTTCAGATACACGAGCTAGCAAAGAATGTGTTTAAAAGAGCACGTCCACAGCTCCAACAAATCATCTGGGCAGCACAAAATTCTTGAAACAGAAAATATATGACTAGGCCTCTACAGTTAGGGCCGCCTAGGCCGCCTAGACCGATTAATCGGTCCGACTAGGCCAATTTTTAGAACAGGGCTTGCGGGTATAGAGCTATACCTCGGGGTAAGATTGGAACAGGGGAATTGTTGTGTTAGCATTTAAATAATAAGTCGTCTTTAGTATTATTTATGTCCATGACTCTTCTACTAGTAATATGAGTGGATTTTTTTCTCATTCTTTTCTAAATTCATCATTTTCTCATTCAAACCCACAAATACATGTAGTTTTTTCCTGTAATTTTACTAATGCTCACAGGTAAATTTAAAGATACTCGAATTTTCATTTCTTTGAAATATTTTAGAACCGTGGTGAGAAATATTGAAATATTGTTTAGTAACCCATGCTTTTAGCTTATCAGCTAACTTTTTTTTTATCAAACACGAAGTTTTTATTTCACGCGCCGGGATGAGTATTGATCAAAATAGCTATGGATGGAGTTACTTTTGTGACTCAATTGGATGAAGTGACTGTAGAACACCATTTTACCTATGTTTCATGTATTTTTTCCTAATTTTATTAATGAAATGTATTTTAAATCTAATTTTTCCGTTCACCCGATCCAACCATTTCAGCAACAATTTGCAAAACTTCAACTGATCATGCAAATTTCGTCGTTTATTAGATATTATCTCCACGACTCTTATTGATTGATGGTCATCAATTATAAAGATAATCATACAGTGATAATTATATGGTTGTTCTTTTATTAGGACTGAGTAAGAGTAGGTATATTCTTAATTAGATACAAACTCAAAGCAATGATTACCAAACTCTAATCTTTTTGTAAAAATACAATTATGAAAACGTATAAACATAATTGAGAAAGAAATATAAGTTAGGCCACAGTTCAAATTATAGTCAGAGCATACTTTATTTTCAAGAATCATACTATTGGGCTAGTTTTCATTTTCACAAGAAACATTTCTAGTGTGTCGAAGCTTCATGTAAGCTCGTGTGTCGAATCTTCATGTAAATATATTATTATAAAAATATGTATACTTATATAAGCTACCCCACAGTAATATAAACAATAAAAAAATTCATTCTAAATACTTCTACTCAAATCAATTGAATAAAAGAGATCTAAAAGGACCGACAAAAAGTGATGGTTTTGTATTAAATAATAAGTGTATAATATGAAATAATTTTCGTAGTAAACAAAAAAAAATAAGATAGTGAAAGTCAAAACTGGATATTTATATTTTCACCAATCGCAAGTTGTAAAGTCATCCCACAACCTGTGCATGTTGACCCACGAAACTAGTGAGTTAATCAGGTTATTAAAATACAATCCACCATGAAACGAGCAAGCCCGATGGAGGTCGACTCATTCTACTAGTAATATAAGTGGAATTCTTTCATATTCTTTTCTAATTCATCATTTTCTCATAATAAGTCGTCTTTAGTATTATTTATTTCCATGACTCTTCTACTAGTAATATACGTGGAATTCTTTCTTATTCTTTTCTAATTCATCATTTTCTCATTCAAACCTACAAATAAATATAGTTTTTTCCTCTTTGAAATATTTTAGAAATGTGGTGGGAAATATTGAAATCTGGTTTAGTAACCCACACTTTTAGCTTATCAGCAGCTAACTTTTTATTATCAAACACGAAGTTTTTTATTTCACGCGTTGGAATGAGTAATAATCAAAATAGCGTTGGAATGAGTTTTTTATTTTTCCGTTCACCTGATCCAACCATTTCAGCAACGATTTGTAAAACTTCAACTGATCACACCAATTTGATCGATTTTTAGGTAGTATCTCCACGACTCCTATTGATTGATGGACTATATGGCTGTTCTCTGATTAGGCCGAGTAAGAGTAGGTCTATTTGTAATTAGATACAAACTCAAAGCAATGATTACCAAACTCTAATCTTTTTTGTAAAAATACAATTAAGAAAACGTATAAACATAATTGAGAAAGAAATATAAGTTAGGCCACAATTCTAAATATAGTGAGAGCATACTTTATTTTCAAGAATTATATTATTGGGCTCATTTTCATTCTCACAAGAAGCTTCATGTAAAAAAATCAATAAATTATTATAAAAATACTTATACTTATATAAGTTACCCCACAGTAATATAAAAAAATCATTCTAAATACTTATACTCAAATCAATTGAATACACATTAAATAATGTAATAAAAATTCTAAAAGTTACTATATTCTTGATATAAAGCAGCACACCTCATTACTCAAGCAATTTGAATAAAAGAGAACTAAAAGGACCGACACAAATATGATGGTTCTGTATTAAATAATAAGCATGTAATTTGAAATATTTTTGTAGTAAACAAACAAAAATAAGATAGTGAAAGTCAAAACTAGATATTTATATTTTGACCAATAGAAAGCTGTAAAGTCAGCCCACAACCTGTGCATGTTGACCCACGAAACCAATGAGCTAATCAGGTTATATTTAAATACAATCCACCATGAAACGAGCAAGCCCGGTGGAGGTCGACTCATTTTGACATCTGTATTTATAATCAACTGAGTTCTCTTTTAAACTTCGATTGACGAATTCATATACAATCCGCAGTCCATATTAATTTAAGAAAAACTTTAAACATATATCTTACCGTGCGGCGCATGGGTACACAAACTAGTTATAATTATTATAATGACTACGATGAAGGCACTTTAGCCATACTGACTGATGGTAATTGATGGACACTGAATTAATTAAGGTGGCTTAGGTATATTATTGTATGATGTAGTTACTATGTGCACTTGATATAGTAACTTACATGTTTTAAGAAGGCTCTACAAAGAAACTGCCATATTGATCGGGCTGAACTTGCAAGTATACAAGTGCCGATGTAGTAATAAGATACCGGTAAATACCGGGTCGATCCACAGGGAAATGGTTGATATTATAAAGTTGAGTATTGAATGAAAAGGAATATAAATAGTATATTTTTTTCGGGAACTTTGCTCTTTGAGGTTGATTTAAACAAGAATGAGAATTACCAAGGCAATCGGGATTCACCTAAATGCTTTAATAGTTATTTAATAATAGTTCTTCCCCAATAATTATGAATACGATGTCGCTAATATATTCTCAACTCCGGTTAAGGCAGCGAGAGCGTGGTTTTCGTTACGTGTAAGTCCCGTTACGGCTCACATTCATCTACCGAAAACCCCGTTGAATATCAAGACATCACACCCGTATCATATAAGACCGGATATATTTCTATTCTCGGTGCTATATATGTTTATCCTTTAGTGTTCAGAGTTTAGACTTCAACGTTCAGCATAAACTAAATTTAACATACTTCTATGTTGTACACCATAGTCATAAACAATCAAAATATAAAGGATAAATCACAATTTATTGGTTTAGAACTTTTATCAAACATCTAGTGTGCATAGAGGTTCATCCCTAGCCTTAGCTAAGAAATTAGCCTCTAATGCTCATATTAATCACAATACAATATTAAAATGTAATGGAACATGAAATTACAAAGGAAATAATACCTAAACACCAATGATTTCGGAGGTTGAATTTTCCTCCTCAAGAACTTGAAGAAAATACCAAGAACAAAAATATAAAAGCTAGGAATTAATCTATAGAATGAAATGTGTTTGCTTGATGAATTGAAGGATTTATATAGGCTAAAGAATGGCATCTTTTAGTCTATTCGAGCCCAACAATCAAGTATGGAGCAATATTTGATCAAGAGATGAGGAAGGTGAAGTTTTCCCATAAAAAATCCTCTTGCACGACCTTTTGTTTGAGCTGAAATCGTCCCAACCGGCCCCGGTCAGTCTA